AGAGATTTGGAAGACAGCTACCTAGCCAACTGACTGGAAGAGATCCATATTTGTACCCATTCCAAAGAAAGGTGATTCCACAGAATGTGGAAATTATCGAACAGTAACAATATCGCATGCAAGTAAAATCTTACTGAAGATAATTCAAAAACAGTTTCAGCAATGTATTGACAGAGAACTTACAGAAATGCTAGCTGGATTCAGAAGAGGATACAGAACAAGGGATATCATTGCTGATGTCAGATGGATTTTGGCTCAAGGCAAAGAATACCAGAAAGATGTTTACTTATGTTTTATTGGCATTTGATTGTGTGGATCATAACAAATTATGGGTAACATTGAGTAGAATGGTAATTCCAGAACACTTTTTTATACTCATGAGGAACCTGTACATAGACCAGGAGGCTATTGTGTGAGCAGAACACGGGGATACTACATGGTTTAAAATCAAGAAGGGAGTGTGTCAGCATTGTATCCTTTCACAATACTTACTCAATCTGTATGCTGAGCAAATAATCCTAGAAGCTGGACTATATGAAGAAGAACGTGGCATCAAGATTGGAAGAATAATCATTAACAACCTGCAATATGCTGATGACACAACTTTGCTTGCTGAAAGTGAGGATAACTTGAAGCACTTACTGATGAGGATTGAATAATACAATGTGCAGTATGGATTACATCTCAATATACAGAAAACAAAAATCCTCACAACTGAACCTATAAGGAGCGTCACGATAAATGGAGAAAATATTGAAGTTGTCAAAGACTTCACATTACTTGGTTCTACAATCGAAGCCAATGGAAGCAGCAGTCAGGACATTAGATGATGTATAGCACTGGGAAAATCAGCTGCAAAGGACCTCTTTCAAATGCTGAAGAGCAAAGATAACTCCTTGAGGACTAAGGTGCACCTGACATAAGCCATGTTACTTTAAGTCACCTCATAGGCATGTGAGAGTTGGGCAATAAATAAGGAAGACCAAAGAAAAGTTGATGCTTTTGAGTTGTGCTGACAAAGAATGCTGAAAGTTAAATGGACTGCTAAAAGATCTAACACATCTGTCCTGGAGGAAGTGCAGTCAGAATGCTCCTTGGAAACGAGAATGGCTAGACTTCATCTCACCTACTTTGATCATGTAAGAAGGGATCATTCCCTGGAGAAGGATAGCATACTTGATAAGGTGTGCATGGTCGATGAATGAGGGGAAGGTGCTCTATGAGGTGGATTGACATAGTGGCTGTGGCAATGGGCTCAAGAATAGTGAG